TCACCTCTGTCCCTGTCCCTGGATTCTCGATGGTGTTCAGGATCCTGAAAGGTTTTCTTACTTTTTTATTGGGCATCTTCAGAATACCTTTCGCTCCTTCAGAATGAAGTCTCCAATTTCCGCACACACACACACCCCGCACCCAGATATTCATATATCATCTTAATTTCCTTCTGAATTAATGTGATTGACCGTGTAAACCAAGTTACTTTAGATCAATCATTTGAATGGATATGTGTAAAATAGAGTTTTTGGGCGAGTCCCTTTCAATTTTATTTTCTTTCACTGTGATGCCCCCCGGCCCCCCGTTTTTTAAATACTTAATTGGAAGTGATGGAGCTTGGCTTTTAAGAAAGCAAACTTGTATCAAAAGGAAAAAATGGACCAATTACTGGAGGAAGTTCTTAACATTTCTCTTGAGAAGTAAGAGTTAAAAGAGCAGTGACTGGGCCACTGTGCTGCTTACGGGTGTTTACGACTTGGGCGTGAGTTGGTTGTTCAGGTGTACAGAGCTGGCGTTTAACTGAAGCTTAGACTTGTGGATTGTGAAAGAGTCGGGACTCGGGCATCTACTCCTGCCTGTAGCCCTTTCAGGGCAAAGACAAGGATTTGGAAGCATGACTGCAGTTGCCTGCTTGTTCCTGCAGTGCGTGTGTGGACAGCCACTATCGGTGGCCCCGTCTGAGGTAGGCAGTGGTGTCACTGGGAGAGAGGCTTGCTGGTGTGTGCTTCCTTATGTAAAGCAAAGCCAAACCGGCCGCCAAGGATTCATCTTCCTCCTCATGGCAGCCCCATGTAGGCAGAGGAGAGCTGTGCTTTGTGGGGTGTTCAGTGGCAAGTTGTGAGGATGCACACAGCCTGGCCTTTCTTCCAAGGCACCTCTGAGTGGGCTCAGCCCTTCAGCTAGCAGCCAGACCTGTTAACCCTTTGCCAGCATCTCAGCAGCTTTTAGAGGGCTACCTTCTCCTTTTGTATATTTGATAGAATTGGGGGAATATTTTCAAGAAGCTTTGTTGGTGTGCTGACTAAAACATTTGGCTGTTAACCAAGAGGTCTGCAATTCAGATCCGCCAGCTGCTTTATGGCAAGAAGATAAGGAGGCACTCTGCTTCCGTAAAGATTTACAGCCTTAGGAACGCTATGCGATTGTTTGAGTCTGTCTTGAAGGGTCACTGTGAGTGGGAATTGAATTGATGGCTTTGGGGAATTTGGGGGCTAAGCAGTAGACATTAAGTGGATTGCAGTTGGTTTTCTTTGCGCTCACCTGTGCAGGAGCAGCCGCTGACAGCGGGGCCTGGTGTGTGCAGGGGGGAGACATCCCCTCCACGCATCATTTGCATGCTGTGCATGTGCCTAGCTGTGCTCATGATAATCATTCCCTGGACTGTGATCTGCCCTTCCGAAGACTAGTTACCTGAATGACCAAGACTTCTGTTTTCCTAAAACCATTTTTCTATTTTGGCCATCATGCTGCCTCTGTGTGTAAGCAAACAAAAAACACTAAGCACTCTGGAAGGTGGCAGGTGGGCTTGTGGGCAGAGCCCTTCAACAACGCCTCACCGGTAATTTTGTTGGGCTTCGTTTTTTCTAGGGTCTCACTCCCACATCTTTCCATCACAGCATAGTAGTTAATACAGATGGTTTTGTTCTCAGTGTTAACTTCAGTTAGTTATTTGCACTGACTGAAGTAATTCAGTAATTTATTTAAACTACCAAGAATGATCTGTTTCCCATCACAATTCAGAAAATACTGTGGCCCTTCCTGTGATTTATCTCCTCATCTCCCTTGAATGGTGACATGAATGTGAGGTAGAGTTCAAGGCAGTACGAGTTGGTACAGAGCAGGGTTGTGGAACTTGCTGGAACCTGTGAAGTGTTCTTTTGAGTTGAGGTGAAAGGAGATAGTGGAAAACCTGGACTGGAGGTTAGAGGGGACCGGTCTTTGGAAGAGGACATCATACTTGGAAGGGTGGAGGGTCCGTGAGGGAGAGGAAGACCCTCAGTGAGATGGATCGACAGTAACTGTAACAGTGGGCTTCAGCACAGTGGAGGTTTTGAGGGTGGCGCAGGTCGGGCAAGGTTTCCATCTGTTGGGTGTGGGGTCGCTGTGTTAGAGTCGGCTCAGTGACACCAAACAATTTCATTGTACCTCTTATCACTAATGAGGCCCTTGTGGCACTGCTGTTAAAACATTTGACTGCTAAAAGCTTGGCGGTTTGAACCCACCAGCCACACTGCAGGAGAGATGAGACCATCTGCTCCCATGAAGATTGACTTGAAGCCTTCGACACCCTGTGATTCGCATGGCTCTGTCCTTTGGGCCGCACTGCGTCAGGATTGACTGAGTTAGGCATGGGGGTTTTGTTGTTTTGATTTTTTGTGCCCCCGCTCCTCCATTGCCACTTATTGCCTATGTAACCCTGAACTTCTGTAGGCCTCAGTTTCTCTACTTTGAATGATGAGGAGGTTGTAGGAGAACAGTGAAATCCTTCCCTGATCCTTGGCACCACCTCCGATTCTTTATGAGATAAGATTGTGTGAATTAGGTATCTCCAATTAGAAATAGCCAGCCCTGTCATTTCAAGTCTCCGTTTCGACCCACTCACAGGAGTGAGGCTTCTTCAATCGATACCATTTCATTTTTCCCTTGTGCAGCCTTGGCTGGGTAGAGCGAGGGTGGCTAATAAAAACCAAACTTGTTTAGAATCCGCTCACCCAAAGCCACAGCCACTCTGTGGGACAGAACAGAACAGCCCAGTAGGGTTTCCAAGGCTGTAAACCTCTATAGAAGCAGATAGTCTCAGCATTCGCCCATGGAGCAACTGGTAGGTTTAAACCACTGAGCTTTTGTTAGCTCCTGTACGTTTTAACCACCACGGTACTGGGATCTCTTAGGACTGTTCTCTGAAAACGCCAAACTTTTTAAACAGAAGCTTCCAGTCTCCAGGCCTTTCTTCCCAGGCTCTTCTGGGTATACTTGAACCTCCAGCCTTTCTTTAGCACCTGAGCACATTAATTAACCCTTGGCACCTCCCAGGGACTCTGCAAGCAGTGTACAGAGGCGCTTTCTCCTTTCTGTATTTGATAAGATTGTGTAAATACTTTAAGTAATATTGCAATTGGCTTTTATTTGTGCTTATTTGTATAAGAACAGTTTTCCCTCCTTATATCCTTACCTCCCACCTTGAGGCTTTTTTTGTCTTTTAAAAAAACAAAACAAAACAAAACAATTGATAGAAATGGAAGCACTGAGGACATATAACAGGCATGCACACAGTGGACATTTCCTCCCCACTTCCTCCAGCGTCTGCTGTCTCTGCTTTATCTCTGCAACAGCTCTGTCTGCCTGCCAAGATAGAGGTGTATTCCTGGGCATGGCTATTCTATGGCATGGCTTCTTAAGAGCTTTCATTAACGAATGCTGATAAGGGCTGTCTCACCCTTGTCTCATTCCATCCTTGGGGACTTGTCATCTCCAGCGAACAACTGCAGAACCAGTTTGCTCAGGGGTTAGGTAACTTGCCTGAGTCTAGCAAGTGGACATGTGGCAGAACCAAGTCTGACAGAGCTCAAGTTTTAGTTTTATCTTCTCCAGCACTTCTTGTTGCTTCTGAAAAAGTGTGAAGAATGAGAAGGTGTGGTCAGTTCAGAGTCCGAATCTTGAAAACCGTGGGCTTGTCTGGAACTTGCGATCCAGAGAGGTGGTTGTGATGTCCAAGGTCACACAGTTTATCCAGGAGCCCCTACCCACCATCTGGGGCGCTGGGGCCCTAGCAAGGTATTCAGCTCATTTTGGTTCCAAGCAGCCATCCACTTAATCTTCTTACAGCACCTCGGATTTTTAAGTAGTTCACATTGTTGAAAGAAAATGCCAGTGTGGATAGCATTACCCATTTATTTCTTCTGCTAGCCAGCCCACCTTTCCCGTCTATCATTACGGATATTAAGGAGGGAAGGGAAGGGTAGGCAAAGGACACCTCCCTCAGCTCATTTAATTAACAATGGTGTTCATTAACTCAGGGTCTCTTCTCTCAGATTTTCCTTGAAACATAAATGTTTTTAATGCTATTGTGATTCAAGTGAAGGTTTGGAGAGCAGACTTGTTTGTCATTCAGCCATTCATGTACATTTTGTGCTGTGCCACTGATTACCATCTTCACACTGTATCCCATAGAAAGAAAATGATAGGTCTGTCTTGGAGAAAGTGAAACCAGGGTGCTCCTTGGAGGAAAGGATGGTGAATTTTCATCTCACTTACTTTGGGCATGTTGTAAAGAGGGGTCAGTCCCTGGAGAAGGACATCATGCTTGGAAAGGTGGAGGTCATCATCAGAGAGGAAAACCTATGAGATGCACTGACATAGTGACTGTAGCAGTGAGCTCAGGTGTGTCAGAGGTGGTGTGGATGGGACAGGATGGCCTAGGTTGAGATCTCTTGTTCATAGGTTCTCTGTGAGTTAGTGTTGACTTGACTGCACCCAACAACAGCAGCAGCAGCAGCACTCTTCCCGCTTTATCCCTGTGGTTCTCATTTCCATGCATCATTCTAGTCTCTTCCTTTCTACCTTCTGAGCTTTCTTCCTGGCTAAATGCTGCCATTGTAATCCTGTGTGATTTATTGTTCTAAGGACTGAGAACCTCCCAGGTGATATTGCTCACCTTATGGATATCTGTTGTGTGGCTGAAAATTTTGCAATATGGGTGAGCTCAGTTCCTGACTCTGAGGATGACTAAGGGCCCATAGTCTTGGGAGTTTCATTAGTCAAACTTCAGCTTAAATCTGTTTCTAATTCATATTGATTGAAGGTTAGATTTTCTGATTTTGATCCATGGTTCAGTTATGTCTGCATTTTCTACATTAATAACTTTAAAAAAAAAAATAGGCTAGTTAGCCAAGAATGCTTTGAGGAAGGGCCAGGGAGGTGGGAGGGGCTGCATAGTTGATGCTTGTTTAATACCTCCCGGAGATGTGAGCTCACCTAACTTGTTCACGTTTGCAAGGTGGTTACTGATGAGCACTGGCGGAGAGCCACGGCACAGGATGAAGACAGGGCAGAGGCGCCGAGGGTCTCAAGGAGGAGATGGGGCTCCGGGAAGAGGTCAGGGCCCAGGCCGCTCTCGGACTACAGCCAGACGGCAAGCCGAAGTCTGTCCATCCCTGAAGACTCCGTGACCGTAGACACCCAGAAAATGGACTTGGTGGACGGGGATCACCAGCCAGGCATGGTGCCCACTGCGGCCGCTCCTGTGGGCTGTCCTAGAGGGAGCCAGAGGAGAAGGCCCATTTCCGTCATAGGCGGCGTCAGCTTCTATGGGAACAGCCCTGCTGAGGAGATCGAGACCCTTCTAACGCAAGTAAGCCCTCTGTGCTTCCACCAGAGCCCTCAGAAACACTGGGATGGCCGGCCTCTGTTCTCTTCTGGCAAACACCAGCCTCTGCTTCTCCTTCCCTCTGTTTTCCTCACATCTGCCACTGTCTGCACTCTCAGCCTTCACCTCCTGTGAAAGCATGCGCGAATGAAAACTAACCACGGGCCTTCGGATGGATGCAAACCCACTAACCTGTACTAACTTTCTTTCTTGGCATTACAAAAACCGTGTGAACTAATTGGCTGTTTGTTTTTAAATAACCTGAGATTTTTTAACCAGAGGAACATCAGAAGGGCATAATGAATGTGTTTCCAGAAAGAAGAAATTCTTGGAAAAAAAGAATGTATCATCCATTGGTAAAATGTAAAGAAAAGAAAATAGGAACTGACTGCTTTGACAATAGATTCAAACTTGCTACTGGTCCCTTAAGGAGCACTGATGATGTAGTGCTTTACATATTATGTTGCAAATCAATAGGTCAGTAGTTCAAGTCCAGCAGCCACTGTATAGGAAAAAGTTGAGGCAATCTCCTGCTGTCAAGATCAGCAGCCTCGGAAACAAGGTGGGGAATTAGCATGAGTTGAAATCGACTCGATAGCAGTGGGTTTAGGCTTATTGGTCCCTGATTTATTAATTCAACAAGCATCATGTTGAATATAACAAAACATTTAGTTAAGGTCCTGTTGAGGAAGGAGGCATTCCACCTGTTTGGTGAGATACCCAGGTTGTGGTTAAGAATTCAGGGAACACTGTGTGAAGTGTTAGATTTCATTTTAAAAGCTGTAAGCTCAACCATAAATAATTAATTTCTCTTAAAAGAGAAATTGTCTATTAGTCTTAGGATCAGGCTGTTTGTTCACAGACTGCCTGCAAACCTCAACACAACTCCTTGCCTAGAGCAAGCAGGTAGAAACTCCTCCGCAGTACTGTGCTGAATTCAATTCTCCATGTAAAAGCAAAGTTGGAGAATACTGTCAAATCTTTAAGCACTTTTGCTTGTTGAATATGCTCCACGCTGCTCGGTCAGGAACATTTCTGACATAAGGGAGATTCTGATTGAGTTCAGAACACAACATAGTGAAAGAAATTCTAAGCACTTGGCAGTTATTTCAAGTCAGCATTAAAGAAGTGTATAGTTAGGAATTTTCTGTATCATCAACTAATTTAGGGAGCTAGATGGAAAGACAGGCACAACGTAAGGAGAGTGTTGACAGAGGTGGCCTCTGGTGTATAGTTGCAGCGATGTTTAATATGGAGGATCAGATGGCCATGCAGACCATTCGGGGAGCCATAGTGTAGCAGGTTAAGTATTGGACCACTTGCTGAAAAGTCAGTCACTCAAATCTACTGGTGATTTCTCAGGAAAAAGATGGGGTAGGCTCCTCCTCTAAAGATTCACAGCATAAAAAACCCGAAAGACATTCGTCCTGAGGCAGAAATGACTTGACAGCAGTGGGTTTGGGAGTTAAGGAGACCAGGATGAGTTTGAAGGAGACCAAGTCTTCTTTAAAGCAAGACTGGTTGTGGTGGTTTAGTAAACAGGAACTCGGCTGCCCTCGGTTCCACAGATGTTGGTGGATCTCCTGCGTGTGCCATCTGCAGAGGGCTGCGGGTCAAGTGAGGAAGGAGCATGCCGCCGGAATCTGGCCGCCCTGGCAGTGGGCAGAGGCACCCAGCTCCTTGTTGCTGCCTTTGGAGTACCTTCCTTCCTTCTTTCTTATCCCCTCTGACATGGTGGTGAGACAGCTCTACCCCCTCCTAAGCTCACTTTTCCTCTTCTGAGGCTTTTCTGCTTTGACCTCCTGGTTTTGTAACTGACTGCTGGATGGCAGTTATGCGATGGACCCATGAGGATGTGGGGTGGCCTGGAGACCTCAGAGTCTGAGCACTGAGACCCAGGCTTGGTGCTGCTTGAGGTGGATGTGAGTCGCAGGAGCCCTGAGTGGCTCTGAGGCCGCTCGGTTGCGTGTGTGATCTGCTCGCAGGAACTGCGACTTCCTGGCATCGCCTCACAGCTCTTTGGTTTCCTCTGCAGCCCGCCACCAGGCCTCCAGTGCCAGCTCATCAGGTGCCGCCCTACAAAGCCGTCTCGGCCCGGTTCCGCCCATTCACCTTTTCCCAAAGTACACCGATCGGGCTGGATCGAGTGGGACGCCGGCGCCAGATGCGAGCTTCCAACAGTAAGTCTTCCGGCCCTCCGAGGCCACAACCCCCTAGATGGGGAGGGAACAGCCCCTCTGGGATAAGGCCTCTGCTGTGAGCTGTGGGCATACCTGGGACCTGCTCTGGTCAGACCTGGAATACCACAGCTGCTGTCAGCAGTTGTCAGCAGCCATCCAGGGTACTTTGAGACCTCACGAGTGTGCACTGTGGCCTGGACCCTCTGCTGTGTTCTGTGGGTCTAGCTGGGGCCTGCTCTGGTCAGACCTGGAATAAGAGGCCTCTGTCAGCAGCTGTCCAGGGTGGACATTTTCAGCCCTCACAAGTGTGTGCTGTGGGCTGGGGCCTCTGCCATGTGCTGTGGGTGTAGCCGGGGCCTGCTCTGGTCAGACCTTGAATACCACAGGCCCCTGTGAGCAGCCGTCCAGGGCCCTCATGAGAGTGTGAGTGTGAGCAGTTGGCTGCTCTGTGGTATCTCTACACTTCGTTTCACAACTGAGAGTGTGGCCCTGATCTTCCCCCACTCTGAGCTTTGTAAGCTCTTCCTGCTTGTTTGAGATGCAGCAGTGCTGTTTTAAATGCCACAGAACAATTTACATTGTCTATTCGTTTATATGCAATCACAGTGCTTCTTTCCAGTTGTTGTCCAGTGGATGTCCCTCCCCGCCACCTTGTGCATGTCATCACAGAGGTGCACTCCTTAGGCCTTCAGTGACCAAACTTGTGGAGGCAGAGCACCAGGCCTTTCTTCTGAGCTCCTGAGTAAACGGGGTAAACTCTGAAGGGCCACCTGTGCAGTTAGCCAAGCCCTTTACTGTTTGTACCACCCAGGCACACCATCATGGTGTTTACCCAGTTAATATTTTATTATTTTAATTAATACCTCATGTTTAAGAGAAGAAATAAAAGTTTATAATAAATTAAAAGCTCCTCAACTTTCCTGTTCACTGCTGCTCAGCCATGGAGTAGCCAGTAATTTGCTACCTGAAAATGACGAGAACCAACATTTATTGAGCACTGGCTATGTGCTTACCGAGCTCCAGAGCATGGACTCATTTTTATAGTATTATCCTTCACAGGAGCCCTGGTGATGTAACGTTTATATCATGAGCTGCTAACCAAAAGTTAGATGGTTCATATCCATCAGTCACACTGCAGGAGAAAAGCAGGCAGTCTCCTTCCTTAAGAACTGACAGGCTCTAAACCCCTTCAGAAGATTACCAGGAGTCAGCATTGACTCATGGCAGTGGCCTTGGCTCCTTACTTTCATCCTCAAGGAGTCGTGGTGGTGCAGCAGTTAAATTACTGGATTACTAAATCCTAAGGTCGGCAGTTTGAACTCTCAGAGAGACAGGAGGCAGTTTGCTTTCCTAAAAATAACAGTCTTAGAAATACTGAGGCAGTTTTGACTAAAACTGGCCTATCAGGTGACTGTAAGTTCAAATCAAGTCATTGGCAATGGATTATCCTCATTTTATAGATTAAAAAAAATTCAAGGCGTAACAAAATAAACTGTCACTCAGGAAACAGCAGAAATGGAATTTAAACCTGTAGTCAACGGAATTTTCACTCCAGAGCTTATTGCTTTAATCACTGGACTGCAGTGGCCCCTTAACGCAGCCTGGTCGGTTGTTACTAAGGTGATTACAGCATCTGCCGCTGGTTCTGCCTGACTTCCATGAATGATTCCATGGTGATTGAGCAGGGGACCGGCTGCGTGTCAGGACTTTGTGGTCTAGGCCGGCCACTTAGGCTGGCTGGGCAAGTTCGCCGCATAATGGGGGCAACCACAGCTGTTAGAGTGGTTTAATGTAGATTAGTTTCATTTAGATGGATTTAATGAAATTAATCCATGCTGACGAAATTAATTTAAACTAACAAAATTAGTTTAGATTAGTAGAATTAATTTAGATTAATACTGAACTGTGCTTGTGGAGACTGTTGAAATAGCAGCTGATTTGTTACACACCCATATTTTCCACGTCTTAGGGGTTGGCTTTTGTCACCTCCAAAGTATGTGTGGTAAATTCTGACCTCTGTGCCCATGGTCATAATCTCATTTCAGAAGGCATTGTCTGGGTTATGTTAGTGGTGCAGAATTAGTGTAGGGTGTATCTGGAGTCAGTTTCCTTTGAGCTTTAAAAGAGATTAAAAGCAAGCCAGCAAGCAGAGATGGTGGAGACAGCTGCCAAACCACATGAAGATCACCCAGGAGCTGCAGCTCAGCAGAGACTAGCTTCCCCAGAGCTGACATAGAGAAAGCTTTCCTCTGGAACATGCACCTTCAGATGTTTAGCTTCCTAAACTGGGAGGAGAATTCTGTTTGCTAAAGCAAATCCATGTGGTGTTTCTGTTACAGCAGCACTAGAGAACAAAGATCTAGAATTGTAGAGGGTGAGAAGAGGAAGAGACAGCAAAGGGTAGCCAGAGAAGGAAGAGAAAAGAGGGAAGTGGAGGCTATGGTGAATGTGCTGCTAACCAGTAGGCTGCAGTGGTTCAAACCCACCCTCTGCCCCTTGGTAGAAAGCAGGCCAGTCTCCTCCCATGAAGATGTATGGCCTCAGAAACCAGGTGGAGGGGTGCTGTGAGTCAGACCAACTTTATGTCAGTGAGTGAGTATCACTGATGTCAAGGAAGGAGTTTTAAAGACAGAAGGTGAAGTATGTGAATATTCCCCAAGAGCCAGTGGTCATAGTGGCAGGAAGATCCCAATTGATCTCTGACCCAGAAGTCGTTGGGGAGGACAGTCATTAGGGAGCTGGAGGGCAGGACTGGGCCAGAATTGCAAGAGGTCAAAGAGCTGGTGCATAAAGAAGGCATGTGACTGACCTAACGTCTTTGCATGTTTTCTAACTCACTTCTCCACACCTTAGTAAGAGGCATCACATCTACAGAATTTTATACGCAGGGCTTAGTGGGAAGAGGTTATATAGCAGCTAGAGATTGAGGATGCTTGTAGATATCTCAAACTCAGCAAGCATGTCAAAAGAGAAAGACCCTATTACTCCTGAAGTAAGCCCATAGTCTACCTGTTCTTGATGTCTTTGTCCTCTTCTCCGGTGACCAGGCTGCAGGCCATGGGGCCATCAGCACTGGTGCCCACAGAGTCACGGTACCTCCTACAGGGTCCCTGGCTTCTCAAGCTCATTGACCCTGTCTCTAACTGCTCCAATTTCTTCACCTCAGGTTTCCATACACGCTTTTGTAAGTTATTCACATTTAATTCATACTAGCTTATTTATTTCCTTTCAAACTCTCCCTGTCACCTGTGGAATAAGAGCCATACTACTTAACCTGGTATGTGCACTTCTCCTGGGATGCCAGTCTACTGTCTGTCTCCACTAATTCTCCTGACATACCTTCCCATCCAGTATTTCCTTCACCAGCTATAAGTGCTCACCCTCTTTCCCTGTACCTAAAATGCCCTACCACCTCTTTGCCATATGTCAGTATTTGTCCTGCTCAGTTCTGGGAACCTCAGTCAGAGCCCCACCACACATTTGCAAAGAGCTGTGGCTGCTTGTCTCATGTTCACTCTCTCCAAGCTTGTAATCAGCATCTGGCGAGGTGTCTGGAGGGGGCAAAGCTACATGCACACGTTGCTCTTCACAGAGTTATCTGTGAGGACAGAAAGTTGTAGCAATCTGAATGTCTGCTTACACTGAAATTGTTCTATGGAAGATGACTTCAAAACCATTTTTAGCAGATGATATCATAAAAGAAGGATGACTGCTATATCTGTTCTGAGCTCGGGTGGTCTTGATGGATAAGGAAGGAGTGGCATTGCCAAGGCAAAAGCAGATGGTGTGAATCTACCAGCTGCTCCATGGGAGGATGATGGGCAGTCTCCTCCCATGTGATTTACTGCCTCTGAAAAGCCGCTGGAGGGTCAGCTGAGTTTGTTCTTACTTGATGGCACATAACAGCGACAACAATGACTACCGCTGACACCCTCAATTCAGATGTCTAGGTTCCTAAATGGTGTACACCACCAACATATTTGTTCTATGGCAAACTACTTCAGGACAGTTTATATCAATGTTGTTGTTGAGTACCATTGAGTCAAGACCAACCCATTGCTGACCCTCCAGTGGGTTTTCAGAGGCAGTTAATGACACAGGAGGAGATTGCTTAGCCTTCTCCCGCGGAGCAGCTGGTGGATTCAAACCACTTGCCTTCAGGATTGCAGTGCAGTTTCATGTCACTTGGCTGTCAGGGAAAAAAAAAGTCATATTTTTAAGCAAGCAACACAGATGTGACATGGTTTTTTTGAAATCTCAAAACCTTGAGCTTAATTTCCTATGAGCATTACATGCTTTATATGTATGTACATTTCATATGTATAGGTGTGTATGTATTGTGTGAATACCTATCTTTTGGGATAATGTCTGCTCCTGTTAAGACTTACAACTTCAGCCCAGACCAGACCTGCCACTACAGTCCTTGTTCTCAGGCCCTCCTTCTCCAGCTAGGACTGTGCACCACAATGGCTTGAGTAAATGGATGACAGTGCTTTGAGTGTCTCCAAGCAATTAAGAAATGCAAAAAGGAGAATCACTGGTGAAAAGACTTCAGCAGCCATGGCTAGTTGTGATGCAAAACCAAAATCAATAAGTCATGCCAAAAAGTGGTCAGAAGAGATCGAAAATTTGTACCGATTTCAACAAGCAGGATATCGAGATGAGATTGAATATAAACAAGTAAAACAAGTTTCTGTGGTAGATCGTTGGCCGAAGACAGGCTATGTGAAGAAACTGCAGAGAAGGGACAATACTTTCTATTACTACAACAAACACAGGGAATGTGATGATAAGGAAGTCCACAAAGTGTAAATTTATGCTTACTAGGCTTTCTTCTGTTGTAAAGAAACATCTCTGTCAAAGGACATTAAAGAGATTTATTAAAGACCAAAAAAAAAAAAATTTACAACTTAAGAGACCTGAGGAGAGTTTTCCTTGTCTTATAGGATCACTGTGAATGGGAATTGATTATGACAGTGCGTTTGGGAGTTTAAATGTAA